CTGGCCTCCGAGGAGGGCCTGCCGGCCTCGGGCCGCCCCTGGCCGCCGGGTGCCTCCTCGAGCCTCGGCCGGGCGGCCCTCTGCGGGCTCGCCGAGCGCTCCCTCTGCTCCCCGAGGCGCTGCTTCTTCTGGCCGCCGGCTGAAAGCTCCTTTGGTTTCCTAACGTCGTGTTCCCTTTTGATATCCCAAGTTGGGTCTGGGCCTATCTGGTGGGAAGGGTCGGAGGGTGGGGCTGGATGTGATGGAGAGAATGGAGAGAGGACGTCTTCGAGGGAGACGCCTACTTCCGGCAGACCTGGGGAGGCGGCAGCGGGAGAACTCCAGGAGCTGGGTTCGTCTGCGGGACAGGAAGACAGGCGTTAGGAGCCGCGCCGCGCAGCCCTTCCACGCTCCCGCGACCTCTCGCTACGTGGGGACGAGAGCAGGCGGCCAGGGGCGACTGCTTTCAAGGGCCCAAGCCACCGCCACTCCCACCCTCGCTGCCAACAGGGCAGCCGGCCGCACCCCGGGGCGTTCTGTGTTCACCTCCCGCCGCCAGACTTATTTACCCCACCTCCTTCCCTCATTGATGAATCGGGGTGGGCATTGCTAAGGCCCGGCCTAATCCATCCCCTCGCCTTGGCGCCTTCTAACTCCCTGGGGTGTCCTCAGGTCTGACAGTCCTGTGTGCATGTCTGGCTTGGAAGCACTTGAATCAGTGGTTCTCAAACTCGACTACATGCCTGAATCACCTGGGGTGGCTGTGGAAAATACAGATTCCCCGGTGCCCACTTCCAGAGATTTCAGTAGCGTGGGGCCCAGGAATTCCCCTGCATTTTTAACAGGCACCCGGATGATTCTGAAGATGGTCCAAGAACCAAGCTTTGAGAAACACTGGTCTGAGTCTTCTGGAAGAAGTTGGAACAGTGACTTTCAACCATTAGGTGTCACTCAAAGCATAATTAGCTACCCCCAGAGACTCAGAATTTGGATTAAGTCATCAAAAAAACATTTACTGTTGTCTTTTAGAAGTCATTGTCCTTAATTCTTTTTAGTAGTTCTGACGTTAGAGCAGGGCCACACTAAGATAAATGATTCTTTCTAGGAAGCCTAGTTTCAACATTTATTTGGGGTTTCAAATCTCCCTACTTTGAGAAATGACTTGAGACCGTTTACAACAAAACACAAAAGAGAACGATAAAAATGAGAAATGATTTTTTTTTTTTTTAAACTAGTCAGAAGCCAAGTAGGAGGACATAGGTGTTAGGAATCTGAGATGAGTTAGTTACTACTATGAGCACCAACATTACTCTTGAGTTTCTAGCCACTAAATCAAAATTAAAGCAGGAAAATCCAATACAGTCATCCCTTGATATTTCTAAGAAATATGTCCCACGACCTTTGGAAATCCTCAAATTTTGGAATATCTTTCTAGAGTGTAAGTTCTCTTCACAGAATTGGCATGCGGTCATGAGTGGGAACAAAGAAACCACACTGGTATCTGAATGTTGGGTGGCAGGAGAGGCTCCTCACCAGCTCAGAGATTCAGCCCCACACATCAGCCTCAGTGCCTGTGAATCCATTCCTGCCGCTGTAACATTATATGTCGCCGACAATTAGAGGCCCTTATTCAGACTCAGTCTGGTTAAAATTTGAGGATTCTTATCTGGTACTTTTGATGCTGATTTATAAAGAGATAAGGAGAGGAAGAAGGCAGTGGGGTTGATAGGTCCAATAATTCTGGGCCACCCATACAATATCACATCAGTTATAAAAGTTTCTCCTTTGCTGTGAAATTTGAATGGAGTATGTAGGGCACATTGTTCTTCTCTTCCTTCTTTTCATAGATGTATCTATTATCATGTTCACATAGTGAGAAAAAAGTCCTGGAAAAGCATCAGAAGACCCGGAATCTAATCCTGCCTCTGGCATTTACCAACATGTGATTTTGGATCAACTAGTTGATCTCTCTGAGCCTCATTTTCTCCTTTTATAAGGTGAGGATGAAATGTTTACCTCGTAGAGGTGAGACATGCACTTTCAAAGGGAAAAGCACTCTGCAATGGGAGGATTATGAGCATTTTTTACACACAGTTGAGCCACATTTCTTTTCTGTGTCCCAGGAGCTGCCTACTTACGACTGGGCCACATTAACTAGCATACTGGTAGGTGAGGTTTTGAGTAAGTGCAGTAAATCAGCCATTCCCAAATGCTGTAATTCTCAGGTGTGCTTTTGCTCTACTACTTCAAGGAATATTCAAGGGGCACCTGAGTGGCTCAGTCGTTAAGCCTCTGCCTTCAGCTCAGGTCTTGATCCCAGGGTCCTGGGATCGAGCCCCACATCGGGCTCCCTGCTCTGCCGGGAAGCCTGCTTCTCCCTCTCCCACTCCCCCTGCTTGTGTTCCTTCTCTCGCTGTCTCTCTCTCTGTCAAATAAATAAATAAAATCTAAAAAAAAAAAGAAGGAATATTCGAAAATCAAATGCAAATGTTTTCGTTGAAAGTTGGGAGTATGTTCTGCTTCTGGCTGGGCTAGAATTTGAAAATCAAACTGTTACAGCAAAATGATAGATCGTGGCAACTCCATCATGCAGGAAGATATTGCCTGAAAGAGTTAACAGTGATCTTCAAAAGGCCTCACTAGAGGGGAGCTGTGCAATGGTAGTATCTAACTTGGACCGTGGTAATGCTGTTTCACATTTTAATATCTTTTCCCAACACCGTCCCCCTCCCCGCCTCTGCCAATTCCATCACGTATGGCCGAGTCAATTAGCTAGCCTGGCATTACTGTGAGATTCAGGGAGGTTGATAGTATTCACACCATTTCCTGAAGGAGGAACTGAAGCAGAGAGAGGTTAGGTAGTTTGACTAACATTACAAAATGGGTCAGCCAAGAATAAAACATTGGGTTTCTTTACTCTCTTTTACATACTGAGAAAGTTTTCCTAACATGTTGCCTTGCAAATAGGATCAAAGCGTGGGAAATGGTCATGCTCAGTGGCCCTGCGGTCCAACAGGAGCTAGACCCCATCGTCACTGAACAGAATGGTTAGCATCTATTTCTGAACATCTTACTCTTGACAGTAAACTAGAAGGTGAAATCATTCAAAATACAAAGACACAAAAGAATCGCTTATTGTAAAAAGATTTCTCAAGTATTTGTTTATAGATCATTAAATTCGTAGTGGGAGAAACTGAAAGCTAAAATGTCCCAAGCCACGACTGACTGAGAGTATTAGTCAGAAGTTAAAATGAACTGAATCTTAAAAGTAACATGATTTAAAGGATGGCCATTTATATAAGGGGTTTAATAGTTTTCATTTTTCTGCACTCTTTCCTTATTTCCCCATCTTGGTGAGTGGCACAACTGTCACTTGGAGTCATTCTTGATTCCTTTCTCTCCCTCACCTCACAAATACCATCCACCTGCAAGGCTTATTCATCTTAGCTTCAAGTATATGTGGACTCTGTCAATTGAGGTTTGCCTTCCCTTTCACCACCCGAGGTCCAGGGCAGTCCCTAGAAGGATGCAACCAGTGTGGGCTGCCCAAGATAATCACAGTCAAAAGAAGGCCATACTGTGGACATCTTTCATAAACCCCTGGCGATACTGTTAGAGAATTCAAAAAATGAATTTCAGTGTTGTTCAGACTTGAGAAGTTAAATGTAGGAGATTGTGAACCTGAGCTCAGAGCTCAGGACAGCTAACCTAGTTACCATACCCAAGGGATGGGCCTGCCAAGCTACTGTTTCTCCCATGGGCTGCTCCAGTAACCCACTCTTCTCTTTACCCCTGGTCTTGCCTACCTCTAATGATTCTCCATACAGCACCCACAACAATCTCTTTGCGACACAAATTAGATCATGCCATTCCTTCGCTTAAAACTTTCAGGGGATTCTTAACTGCTATGAGATTAAAATCCACAAAAACCTGCATGATCTGGCCCCTGCCAGCCTCCTCAGCTTCATCTCTATTTATTCTCTGTTCTCCACCCACACTGGTCTCCGTTCAGTTCCTAAATGCACCAAGCTCATTCTCTATTCTGGGATGTCATTGCTGACTCTTCTGCCCAGAAGGTTCTCTCCCCAACTATTCATATGGTGGGTTCTTTTTTTATTCTTTAGAACTCTTAAATATCACCCCAATCCAAGGTAGATCTTCTGCTGTCCTCCAGAGCATCTTGTTTTTATTTCCTCATAGTACTTATCATTGGTCATTATATATCTGCCTGCTTATTCAGTTGATATCAGTTTCAACAGCTAGATCGCAAACTTCAGGAGGGCAGTGGCCACGGTGGTCTTGTTCATCACAGTGGGATTTACTGCCTAGCATGGTGTTCGACACAGTAATAAGTGCTCAGTGAATATCTGAGGAACGCATCAATCTGTTCCACAAATAGAAATGGAGGACTTGAAACCAAATGCCTACTTGAGCAAACACGTCAGAGCAGCTCTTCATTTAGAGAATAATCAGCAAAAGCAGGTTTGTATCTATGACTTCTGTCAGTTTCCAGAGGGAGGATGGTGGTGAAATGCTAGTGAGTATTTGAAGTGGGAGGGGAAATACATTTGGGGCAGGAGTGCAGAGGGAGGATGCCAGCAACAGAAAGGGCACTGGGAAGAGGTCTTGGCTTTTGTCAGCAGCCCCTGGGGTGTAGAGAGAGAGAGAGAGAGAGAGAAGCTCTGGATGGAAAACAGGCAGTTAAGTTCCCCTGACTTTTAACAGATGTTCTTTCCCTTGTTAATCTTCTCAGCCATGATGATGTAATGACTTTGCTTAAAGGAGCTTCATCTCTGGGGACTCATTAGTCAATGTGCCAGTGAATGTTCAGATGAACTACAGGCAAGATAGACCCTAAATATCTCACACTCTGGTGGGGGGAGAAGCAGGTCCCTGTCCTAAGTTAGGATCAGGTTTCTTCCCCTTCTTGTTGATTCTCGCCAGTTTGGATCTATCCTAGATCCTAGGATTCTATCCTGGAAAATAGACTGGTTAATACATAATATATATGAATAGTATATATGTACAGAAATCACACACACACACACACACACACACACAAATATACTATTCTCTTTGAGTTAAAAGATGTATGACCTCTTGAATTATTTTGTAGGAACTTAGCAATATGAAACATAAAATGTAGTCTTCCGCTATGTAATCTTGCTATGCCTGAGATTAAAAAACAAACCAAAAAACCTCATCTACTGTGTTTCAACAGCTTGTTTCTTTATGGAATATAATCAAGTGACAGTAACCAGAGAGGTGACCCACTAGGAATAGACTACTTATTGCAGTAAATAAGTATCTGCATTATTGGTTTTCCTAGGTGGCTCTTATCTCCAGCAAAAAATTGTG